TGAGAAATGGAAAAAATGGAAATAAAGTCTTTGTAAATAGGGAAGGGTGGAGGGGGTGAAGGGAGGGCTAAGAATGGGGAAAAAATAAGAAACAAGGTGCATCATATAAAGGTACAAGTTCCCAATGAGAAATATAATTGTGTTGTATACCTAAAATGTACCAATAAAAGAATTAAAGAAAAAAAAACCCCAAAATAAATGATCCACATGGAAAATAATTTTTAAAATCTAGAATATGGAACATTCAATGATATTTATCTTGTACTATTTGAAAATCCAAAGTCATGAAACAATTATGGGAATATTGTTCTAAAACAGAAGATGGCTATTTTTTTTTTGGTACTGTGACTCGAAGTCACAACCTTATGCTTGTGAGGCAAGCGCAGTAAAGGTGGCTGTTTTTAACCACAGAGAGCAAATTGTTTGGCTTTATAAGCCATACAGTCTCTGTTCTAAACTATTCAACTCAGCTAGAGTAATATGCAAGTATGATTGTGCCAGTACCCAAATAAAACTCATGTTTTAAGCAGGGTATGGTGGTGCCTGGCTGTATTCCCAGCACTCTGGCAGGTTGAAGCAGGAGGACCACAAATTCTAGCCTAGCCTGGAAAACTTAATGACTTAATGAAACTCTGTCTCAAAAAATAAAATAAAATAAAAATTTTAAAGGGTTGGAGATGTAGCTTGGTGTGAATTCCCTGGGTTTAATCCCCAGTAACACTAAAAAAATATATAAAATGAAATGGGCCAGGGATTTAGCTCAGTGGTTCCACTGTCTGCCTTGCAAGCACAAGGTCATGAGTTTAATCCCAGATACAAAAAAAAAATTAAAAAAAAAAAATATATATATGGTAACTTAAAAGGGCCTGGAAATGTAAGCTCAGTGCAACTGGTTTCAATCTTCAGTACCATAAAAAAAAAACAGCAAAAAAACAAAAATCCAACCAAAAAATTTGTATTTTAAATCTTTTTTTTACATTCTACTAGATTTTAATCAGAAATAATTTAAAACTTAAAAAATATAAGCAATTACATGAAGCTTTTCTAAAATTATCATACTTATAGACTCATAATAATTTGTTAATAGCAATATAATATTAAAAATAGTATATAATACTTACTGAATAGAAATGATATATGAGAAAGGGTTCCAAATTTTCTACATTTCTGTACAGCACTATAATGTAGGTACAGTTATCATCACTTGCAGAACACTCCCAGAAGGATAACTATCTTTCCCAATGTCATATACACTCTAAAGCATAGAATGGCAATCACATTATTTTTTCTGTACTTGTTAGGTCAGTAGGAATTTTCAGTGGTATGAATTTGCTCAAAGTTAATAATAATTAACAGGGCCAGAAAGCTTTCATAAATAAAAACATAAAAAACAAAGACATCTCTACATTCTCTGAATTTTCCTCAAATGTGAATATACTGATAATCAATGATTGAGAAGAATGAAGGTTTTCTTATATCACATAAAAATACACTAGAAATTCTCTAAATATGAATATTTGAATCATAACAACTCTAAATATAATGTATAGTCTGTGGAGCTTTCACAATGTAAACTAACGTCTTATAAGAACTGAACCATATTTAAAAGCATTCCCACATTCTTTTCATATTGTTTATCAATGTTATAAATACATTGATGAGTTGTATATTACCTATTATATATGGCACTTTCCAAAGCTCTTTCACTGGTAAGGTTTTTCTCTAGTATGAATTCTTTGATGTACTTTAAGACTTGAATTAAGCCTAAAGAATTTCCCACATTTGTTACACTGAAAAGGCTTCTCACCACTGTGAATACTCTGATGTCGAGTAAGTCGTGTATATACACTAAAGGCCTTCCCACACTCCTTACATTCATAGGGTTTTTCACCGGTGTGGATTCTCTGATGTACAGTAAGTTGATGGCTACTCTTAAAAGACTTCCCACACTCCTTACATTCATAGGGTTTCTCACCAGTATGAAGTCTATGATGCATTCGAAGGCTTTCAATATGACCAAAGGCCTTCCAACACTCCTGACATTTATAGGGTTTTTCACCAGTATGAATTCTTTCATGCCTAACAAGGTCTGAGGTACGACGAAAGGCCTTCCCACATTCTTTACATTCATAGGGTTTTTCACCAGTATGAATTTTCTGATGTATCTTAAGGCTACCACCATGAATAAAGGCCTTTCCACAGTCTTTACATTTATAGGGCTTCTCACCAGTATGCATTCTCTCATGTTGAATAAGTGCTGAGGTGCGACTAAAGGCCTTCCCACATTCTTTACATTCAAAGGGTTTCACACCAGTGTGCATTCTCTGATGAGGAATGAGTTGATAAATACGACTAAAAGTCATTCCACATTCTTCACACTCATAAGGCTTCTTGCCAGTATGAATTCTCTCATGTTGTACAAGATTTGAGGTACAACTAAAGGCTTTCCCACATTCTTTACATTTACAAGGTTTCTCACCAGTATGAATTCTATGATGTACTCTAAGATCTATTCCACGACTAAAGGTCATTCCACATTCATGACATTCATAGGGTTTTTCACCAGTATGAATTCTGTCATGCTGCACAAGGTGAGAGGCCTGACTAAAGGTCTTCCCACATGCCTTACATTCATAGGGTTTCTCACCAGTATGAATTCTTTGATGTATTTTAAGTTTTCCACCTTTACTAAAGGCCTTCCCACATTCATGACATACATAAGATTTCTCACCAGTATGAACTTTTCTATGTTGAGTTAGGTATGAGGCACGACTAAAGGCCTTTCCACACTCTTTGCATTGATAGGGTTTCTCACCAGTATGAATCCTCTGATGAACTCTAAGATCTATATTACGACTAAAGGTCATCCCACATTCCTCACATTTATAGGGTTTTTCGCCAGTATGAATTTTCTGATGTTGTAGCAGGTTGGATGCACGATTAAAGGCTTTTCCACATTGTTTACATTCATAGGGTTTCTCACCAGTATGAATTCTCTGATGTACTATAAGGTCTGTGTGACGAGTAAAGGCCTTCCCACATCTGTCACATTCAAAGGATTTCTCACTGTTATTAATTCTTTGATGCAGAGTAACCGATGAATGTTTTCTAAAAAGGTGCACTTTTCCATAGCTGACTTTTTCATACCTTGACTCCAAATCTAAAAGAAATAAAAGTTTTGTTTTCCTGGTTATCAAAAAATAAATGTCTCATAGATTTATTTAAATGCTACATTTGTCAATTAGAGATGAATACTTAAAGAAACACTAAAATCAGCAATACCATTTGGAACTGTTATTGACAATGTTTCTATAATTCTCATTTACCACACTTCACTACAGGGATTAAAAGTAGTCTTTTCTGTATCAGTTTTAACACTTAATATAAACAAATAAAAGCAACTATTTATACTTCATTTTCATCCATGTATATTTCTCCATAAAAACTACAGACATCACCTCTTATGCATACCCATGTGAACATTTTGTTGTTTTTCAAATCAAAATCCTGAGTGTTTATTACCTTTGCTGAAATGTTTCTCATTAATTTCCCATTCTACAAACATTCTAATTGTTTTATACCATCATATCTTTTCTCAGGTCTCTTCTTATTTTCCGTTTTAGAGAAGAGTGATCATTTGGGTAATTTCCAGAAGAATATGTCAATGAGTTTTCAGGGATGTTCTAGAATTACATGCTACTGAAAAATGTCACAGAATTGTAAGCATTTGGGTAATCTCAGGGGAGAAATAAGAGAAACAACTACACACTGAAGGAGTCTAGAGGAAGAATGCCAGGAGTACAAGAAAAAGAATGAAAAGATTTATAAGGAAGGAATAGTTTAAGAAAATTTGTTTTTTGGTTGTTTTTGGTAACAGGGATTGAACTCAAGACCTGTGCTTGCAAGGCAGGTGTGGTACCACTGAGCTAAATCCCTGGCCCAGCTTAAGCAGATTTGAAAGTGCAGGGGCAAGGACCCAAGTTCGATCCCCGGTACCCAAAAAAAAGAAAGTGCTAAATGAGTAGAGCATGACTAAGGATGAAAAATATCTCCTTGTGAATAGATAATAATGTATATCCAAATGCTGAAATAATATACTCTCTCCCTGAAATACAGTGATGAAAAATGTATCAGAAAACCAAAACAACTTCCATGTGAAAATGAAAATATCCCCTCCAGAAATCACTTGAAGGTCAATACAAAAAAAAAAGCCTGAGAAGAAAGAATTATAGTAAATCATAATAAAAAGTATATACCAAAATTTTTGGCATTCATTTTCAACATTCAGAGAATAACTTAAAAAATTATCTCAATAAGTTGGACATAGTAGTGCATAGCAGTCCACACCTATAATCCCAGCATGCTGTGAGGCTGAGGCAGGGGAACTACAAGTTCTAGCCCACCCTGTGGAATTTAACAACTTAGCAAGACTCTGTCTCAAAATAAAAAATTTAAAAAGGACTCAGGATATAGTTCAGTGTGAAGGTTCTGGATTCAGTCTCCACTACCCCCACCCCCAAGAAAACCTCAATAAAAATGAAAGAAATAAATCAAGTAAAAGTTCAATCTCAAATTTTATACAATTTGTTTATTACAAAGTAAAGAAGAAAAACTAAGATGAAAGAAAATGTAATGAGTTATAAGTCAAGTGTATCAACAAATAAATCAAAGAACTTGTGCTTAAAACTTGAGTAAGTAGGGCTGAGGATTTAGCTCAGTGGTTTTGCTGCCTGCTATGCAAGTGGAAGGACCCAAGTTTGATCCCCGGTACCAAAAAAAAAAAAACTTCAATAAGTAGAGACTAGACATATAGCTCATTGTTAAAGCATCTGCCTAGCATCCATGGGGAATTAGTTCAATCTTCAGCACTGCGAAAAGAAAAAACCCACGTTAAGTAAATCAAACAGGAGTAAGCTAAATCAATCAAACAGGAGTAAAAGAAAAATAATATATTACAGAGAAAATGCAAAATAAAAACAATTTCACACACACACACACACACATATATATATATTATATATATTATATATAATATATATATATATATTTTTTTGGTACCAGGGATTGAACTTGGGTCCTTGCACTTGCGCAGCAGGCGGCGAAACCACTGAGCTAAATCCCCGGCCCAATTTCATTTATATTTTGCATACTTCTGCATAGATCATGAATACTTTTTAAATTCCAAATGGCAAAAGCGATTTTCTTTTAAAACTTCATTAAAATTGACCATAGAGAGAAAAAAACAAAACAGAGCAATTGCCATAGAGGAAAAAGAAAAAGTTGTCAGAAAAGACAGTTGTAATGAGCTCTCTTTATTCCTACATTTAATTTCTTTTTTTTTCCCCATTGAGTTTATTGGTACATTTTCATTATAAAATAGTTACATTCATCATTGGGATGGTGTATCATTACATGAGTCTCTTGGTTCTTACTTTTTTTCCCCCCTTCCCTTGCCCTCCCTTCACCCCCTCCACCCTTCCCTATTTGCAAAGACCTTGTTTCCATTTTTTTTCCT